GGAGTGAGAAGGTAGGGGCAGAGGCCTCCCAGCAGCTTCTGAGGAGTCCAAGTCTATGTATGAGGAACGGCCTTTGGCCCTGAGGCTTGGAAAGGAAGGAGGGCTGGCCAGCTCTTTGCAAGGACAATGACTGACAGGTGGGATTAAGTTGACTGGTGCTGAAATGGCCGGCCTTTATCTGCCACTGTGCCTGGATCTCAGAAGGGCAGGGGACCTCTGAAACACCACAGCCCTAGCATCCTAGGTGGGGTCTACAGGCAGCTGGAAAGGCCTTGTGTGGACTCTGTTACGTCCTCCATAACCAGGGTACACAAGGAGTTACTCTGGCAGGTTCATCAGCCTTCCATACACAACTGGAGACCTGAAATTGGGATTAATGCCCTGTCTCAGAAGGCCTGGGACCCAGACAGGCCCAGTCAAGGCCCTCCCACAGGCTAGTGAGGTCCGGTACTTGTACTCTCTGCAAACTTCCTGAACTCCTCAGAGCTGGGTGTGCCATATGCCTGTAATCCTCAGGACTCAGGGGGCTGGGGCAAAGAATCAAGAGTTAAAGGTCCAGCCTGGGCCACAGAGCGAGTCCCAGTCTCCAAAAGAAGGCTCACAGGTTTGAAGAGTCTGGGCCTCTGGGAGTTGTCAACACGGTGGCCTTCAGGCCTCTGTGGTGTTGAGGTCTCGTGTCACGGTGGAACAGAACCAGCCTCTCACTGTTGGGAGATCTAAGTGAGGATGAAGAAAAGCCCAGGTCCCACTATGCCTTACAAAAACTGGTCCCCAGTGACCCAGAGCCTCCTAGAGGTTTTGCCATCTCCAAATAGCACTGCCCTGAGGAGCCAGCTTTTACCACCTGGGCCTTTGGAGACTGCTTAAGAGGAAACACAGTCTCACTCGCCCAGACAGTAGTTCACCAGGGCCTAGAGCTCTCCACATCTTCTATGCAGAGAAGTGCAGTTCTACCAAAAGTCAAGTTTTATCACACAGCTGTACGGCCCTCCAAATCGCTCTACCTCTCGCTTGCTGGTACGTGATGAATGATCTCTTGTACAGAGTTTAAATTTACCTCACTGTTTTGAAGCCTGCCTAGTGTGGATCGTTATGGCCATGCTAGGATGTGCCGGTCAGCTTCTCCTGTTGGCATTTAAGGCACTTCTAACTGCAGATGTGCTGGATGGGGGCATCTGGGTGGGAGTGTGGAGAGGCGGCAGGCCGCTATGTCTCCAACTGTGCCTGCCTTTTCAAGAGTCATGACCTCAGGAATGGGGACCTGGCAAGACACAATGACCCTTTTCTATTCCTTGGAACAAGTGGTTTCCTCTAAGGAAGGTACTTTTCCGGAAAACATGTTATTTCAAGGCCTCTTGATTCCAGAATGCAGCAATTCCCACAGAGAAACCCTGCCAGGTTTCAGAGCCAGGGACTGGGGAGAGAGGGCAATGGGCGTGTCCTTCCCCTGCCTCTTAGAGCTGGGGCTCAAACAAGCTAGGTGGGCCTCTGCACCCCAGCATACTGAGGCAGAGGCCCAGGACTAGCACGCACTGGCTGGAGCCAGAATTCACACAGCTCATTCATCCTGCCCTTCACCTAGGGCTGGAGCTGACAAAGCAGCCCCGTGGCGGGGGGTGGGGGGATGGGGTGTGGGGTGGGGGAGTGGGGGGGGATGGGGGGGGGAGTTAGACCTGTAGAGCAATCTGAGCAGGAGCTTCAACACCCTCGTGGACTGCAGTCTGCTCTTCCAGGGTCCCAGCCCTTAGCGCAGGAGGAGGGAGAGGTGGATGCCTCAGCTCAGGAGCTACCAGGGGAGATTGCAGGTGGTCCTGCAAAGGTCCCATCTCCAAAGCAGATGTGCAGCTAGGGATGGGTGTCGGGAAGTTTGGCTTAGGGTCCCCCAGCGCCCGTTCCTCCTGAAGATGTGCACTGGACCCTGCTGAGGTGGACACAGACATGATTAGCAGCCCAACCTTGCTCCCGCAGAGTTTTTATTGCTCCCAAGGCACTCACGAAGCGGCAGCTCGGCGCCCCCCTCTGAGCAATGGAGATCGTGGGGCTGCTGTGGGCAGACACGGTGAGAACATAGTGCCTTCTGCATTGTAAGAATCTGTGGAAACTGCCAGCAGCGATGGAGCAAGTGGAAAAAGAGCTAGATTTGGAACTGGGAGGGCTGGGTGCCAGAGTGGCTCTGCCCCAGATTCCTAGGCAGGCCCGAAGCGGCTGCTTCCCCCACTACCAGCAGCTAAACATTGCCGGCTTTGCTGGTGTTCCGGTGCCGGTGCCGTTCTGTCTTGTCCTTACACAGCTGCCTTTCTCTCTGGCGACGGTGGCTGGAAGGGCAGCCTTGGGCGGTAAGGGGGCTCCCTGTTGGCTGCTGCTGGGCTTCCCCTCCCTCTTACACACCAGACTGCAAAAGTGAGTGCGGCACACCACATCCCTCATGCACCATACACATACCACACACACCAGACACACACACGGCACAGCACACAAACATACCACACACCACCCACAGTCAAACCACACCCACAGCGCACACACACACACACACACACACCACACACTCCATATGCACACATCGCATACACCCTGCAAACATACACCACCCCTCAACACACACATAACATGCCACACATCACACATCATGCACACACCACATGTGCTAGCTAATTTGAAGTCAACTTGATACAAGCTAGAGTCATCTGAAGGAGGGAACCTCAATTGAGAAAATGCCTCCATAAGACTGGGCTGTAGGCAAGCCTGTGGAGCATTTTTTAAATTAGTGATAGATGTGGGAGGGCCCAGGCCACTGTGGGTGGTGTCATCCCTGGGCCGGTGGTCCTGGGTTCTATAAGAAAGCAGGGTGAGCAAGCCATGAGGAGCAAGCCAGTAAGCAGCACCCTCCATGGCCTCTGCAGCAGCTCCTGCCTCTGTTTCGGTTCCTGTCCTGACTTTCTTCGATGATGAACTGTGATGTGGAATCATAAGCCAAATACACCCTTTCCTCCCAGGTTGCTTTGGTCATGGTGTTTTATCACAGCACTAGGAACTCTAACAAAAATACTACATATACTACACAGGCACTGTACACGTTGCCCATACCACATATCACGAACCATATCCATACCACACATCAGATACATACAACACACCATATACACACATGCACACCCACAATCCATGCGCACATCACAGCCTAAAAGGTGGCTGTTCACTCTGCTCACCAACACCATGGTCAACCCTCATGTTGCTCTCTTCTGTCAGGCCCCTGCCATCTTTAGCCGGTCCCTCGGCCTCTCAGACTCATCCTGTCCCCACAGAGTTACCCGATGAAATGCAGGATGCCCCGTAACACTTGATCTTACATAGACAATGGACGTTTTGGTGTGCGTCCTAAACATTTCATGAAACACATTTGTACTAGAAATGACTTGTCCTCGACATGGATTTCCAGCTTATCTGGCAGTATTGTGTTTTTATTTGTTAAATGTGGTAACCCCACTGCCTAGATGCTCTGTTCTGTGTCCTCCCCCACTTTCCTGGCCGGCTCTAGCTGTACCTCTCAGCCCTGTCCTTTGTCAGCTTGCCCCGCCCAGGGAGGACAACCATAGCATCTCCCCGCCCTCACACCCACCTCCACAGTCCTCTGAGAGCCTGGGGTCCATGGCCTGGCTCAAGAGTCACCTCCCCACTGCAGCAGCCGGTGACCCTGCTTTCATCTGTGCCTGGACCCTGCACCTGCCTAGCCCGGAAAGAACAAGGCTGCCGCGGTGGTCTGCTTAGCATGGACTGCCTGGAAACAGGCTTCCCTTAGGAGGTGACTGGTGTCCATCCTCTTCTTCAGGCCAGGCCACGCTGCTGTCTCTCTGCCCCACGGGTTCTCTACGCCAGCATCTTCTGCTCACTGGCTTCTTCTCCCCTCCAGTCCAGCTCAGGGACCTCCTCCTCCCAAACTTCCCTGGGCTCCCCACCCCCACCCCCCAGCACCCAAAGCTTGTTGTTCCTGTTCTGCCTGACTGTGCAGGGAGCCCGTCTGCCTGACTCCTACCTTCTCTGAGCACACAGAGCTCTGTCCGCGCTCGCTGAATGGCGGACAGGTGAATGAGTAATGGAATGAATGGGTAAAACGCATGGGTACGTGAAGAAATAGGACTCAGTACGTGACTGGGTGAGTAGATGGATGTCATAGTTAGGGTATCTATTGCTGTGATAAAATACCATGACCAAGAGCCACTTGGAAAGGACACACACACACACACACACACACACACACACACACACACACGGTCCTGGGCTCAAGTGCTTCATTGTATTTGGGGCTCACCCACCTCTAAGCAGTCTGGGTATCCCTGGGACTCTGCAGAGTTCCTGTGGACCTCCAAGGAAGGTCTTCAGAGCCTGCTTTGGGGCAGACTCCGCCTGGGGCGAAGCCAGACCCCTGGCCAGCAATCACTCAGAGGGAGCTAAGGTGAGGGTTGACTCAGTTTGACTTCTTCCTCAGCCCTGCTTCCACCTTCCCACCTCACAGGCGCTCACCCCCAGCAGACATCTCTCAGCCTGCAGCGAGGCCCTCCACTTAGTCCCCAGGACCCCCTGCCCTCCCTTCTGGCATATCTAGGCAAGCCCTAGTCAGGCACTCGGTGTCCAGGGTGATGAGGACATGTTTCCAGAAGCTTCTGTGATCTCCCCAGATTCACTCCACCCCACCCCATCTAGCAGCCTGACTCCCTTCCGGCACCTCTTCCCGGCCATCTCCACCTCCACATCTCTACAAACCCAAGCCCATCTCTCTGGGTCCTTCCTATGGCAGCCACGTGTCTGACACCCACACCCCCCAGAGCCCTCTCATTCAGTCCTGTCCCCTTCAACAGGCCGGTCCTGAGTCAGCCACTATTCAGGGCCAGATGCAGATATATGATCCAGGAGGCCCATGGTTCTCCACTCTTCAGATCACAGTCTTTAAATATGAGATGGCATCTATTCTGTGATCATAGAGAGAGCATATTTTCTATTAATAAGAAACAAATGTCCCTTTATTTGTGGTAAAAACAACTTCTTCACAGGCACTGAAATGTAACAACATTTAACTTTTTTGGAATTATCTCTCAGTTCCTAAGTGACGCAAATCCCTCACATCTGCTAAGAATAGACGCGGTCTGTCAGACTATAGCAATAAAGCAAGTCTTGTTCAAAACGTGCTTAAAAGTCTTCTCGGTGGCCTTCCTGCTAATGAAACACCTTGTGCTTTCTGTGGCTCTTTTACTATTCTGCTTCCTTTTGTGGTTTTCCCAAGCAGATTTGGAAAGACCCATAAAAGGATATACGTTCGCAATTATAAAATAAGTCACTTGTTCCCAGAAAACAGCTCTTTGGTTTCAGAGTTTCAGGGCTGATTAAGGAGCAAGTCTCAGGGTTGGGTGTTATGAGGCATCCAAAAATACAAACAAATAAGAAGTAGTTCCTCAAAACGTCCACTTGAGGGCGCGGGTTCCTTGGGTGGCGCATCCACCTTTATCACAGGCATCCCGCTGACAGGGTACTAACTTCTGGGGAGGTTCCCCAGCTGGCTGGAGCTACCCCGCCATAGAATCCCACACAGTGTTTGTCCACACCTGCTCAGCCCCACTGTGAGTAGGGCCCAGCTGATTTCTCAGCTAAGAGGAAACTCACACCTGATCCTAACACCTCAGGTCCCCCAGGATAGAGGGCAGAGCAAGCAGATATGGGAGAAAAGGCAAGAAGTTTATGGAACATTTAAAGGCAGAGACAGAGGCCTGGGAAGAGCGAGACGCCAGAGCATGGTTATTGAAGGGGTAGGCAGGCCTGACCTACTAGCAGAGCAAAGCTGAGGGACTGCCAGCCTCACACAACAGTCCAGAAGTTCTGGGCACTCAGCAATGGCCGGGATTGGAGAGCAGGCCCTGTGAAGAGCGAAGCCTCCTGGTGAAATGTGGCCACGGTGAAGCTGTTCCTGGGGTCCCTGTCTGGGTCTTGGGTCTTCAAGTCATAGCTGAAGTAGCAGAGGATGCAGGTGATGGCCATGGTGACAATGAACAGCACTGCCACCATCCCGATCACTGCGGTCTCCATGGTTTCCGGTGGCACTTGTCACACGAAGGGGGTCTCTGAGCCTTAGTGTCCCATCAGAAACGGCCTCTAGGCTGGATGGCCGTCTCTCCTCAGTCTCTTAAGATGCTGGTCTGCGGTCTTGGACTGTGCCATTCTAGGCCAGTAACCCTTCTGCTGGAATCAGATGATCCCTGGTCTAGCGTTTAACCTCAGGTCAGACGTCCAAGAGATCTGGTCAGTTCCACTAGCATCTTCTCGAAGCACCATCAGGAAAGATGTAAGCACATGATTCCCTGGACACGGAGGAGGCAAGTGAAAGAGAAACAGAAGATGTTGTTGAGAGAGATGCCAGGCTGGTCCATTAGCAACGCCTCAGGACTTCAGGATGACTGATTAAAAAAAAAAGAAAGAAAGAAAAGAAAAGAAAAGAAAAGAAAAGAAAAGAAAAGAAAAGAAAAGAAAAGAAAAAAGGCAACTATACACCCAGGAAGACAAAAGCCTCCCCCCTTGGTGGACCCAGGAGGAGCCTGGATCCTCTGGGGGAGGGACCCAGGGCCGGCCTTCCAATTGGCCTCTCTGCTGCCCTCCCAGCCCCTGGACCTGGACTGGGAGGCAGGTGTGGAGAAAGACATGTGCATGCTCTGAGCAAAGTGGGAGCGAACCGAGGCAGCACACCCAGGTCGTTATGGATGCCGGGGGGGGGGGGGGCTCTCCAGGTGGAGGGGCGAGGTGGGAGAGAGGGTAGGTTGTACTTGGCCTCACTTTCTGGGCAGGGCTGGTGTAGACAGGGAAGGACCTCCTCCAGCCCCTTCAGTGACGCGTCATAGGGCCCTCTCACTTCTCTCTACACGCTCGTAGGGCTCCCCTTTTGCTGCCCCCCGGGGCCCACTCCTCACACTGGGTGCTATGAAGACTTACCCCCGGACCTCAAGCATGCCAGCTCTGACTGTATCTGATGCCATTCGCTCCTTGTCTGGTGACCACCCCAGGTGGCCACGACGCCCTTCCCCGAAGCCCGCTGTGAGTTTTGTTGGCGCTGCCTGGAACTTGGCTCGGAGATGTCTGAGCAGCTGTGAGTACTTCCTGAATCCCTTCCTCCAATTGTGATTGAAGGGCCTGTGACCCACAGCCACCACCTCCTCAGCTCTAGCACTTAGCCCGCCCCGCACACACGCTTGAAGGATCATTCCTTAACTGCCCCTCGAGAGGTTATCAGGGGAGGGAGCTCAAGCCCAAGCCCACTCATACCGGGCGCCTCCCGAGACTATACCACATCCAGAGAGAAATCCGTGTCTTCAGCCTGCCCTTTACCATATTATGAAAAATGGAGTCTTCCGGGTCCTGGACGTAGCCAGGCTCTGGTCCCACAGCCCTGGGCAATGACAGCACCTCCATTTCACAGGTATAGTCACAGAGCAGATGCGCCTGGCCAGGACGGTTGCCAGTTAGTCATGACAAGGACAGCACCAAATGGCAGAGCAGGGGATCCCCTCCCTCTACTCCAATGCCCTCTTCACAGGGACCACACACAGAGTGATCACCTGACTCTGCCGTTTGACTGATCAGGATCCCAGAGCCCCCCAGAGAGAGAGAGAGAGAGCTGGGCCCAAGGTCATGCAGCTGGGAACTTTTCCAGTCTCTCCAAGGCCCAAGAGAACTTCGGTAACAGTGTGGGTAAACACTCATTCCGGAGAAAGCGGGAACAATACGCTGGCCTATTCTAGCACAGCCCCTTTTCGAAGATGTTCCCACAATCTGGGCTCATCCTCCTCATGGGTACAGGGAGTCAAGCACTTGGCAATATAATAACTGGGGCAGCCAGAAGTAGACAGATGCAAACAGGAAGCACACACCGGAGGTATCTGAATCCCCAGCATCGCCTGGCGGGTGGGGCTGGGAGATGGGCCTGGGAGGCTGTTCCGGGTTTTTTGTTTATCTCGCTTTCTCCTTTGCCCGTTCTTTGAGTCTAGGGCGGGGAGAATGGCCTAGCATTTTCATCAGGAATACAGAACACTTGTCCAGCCCCGTTAACTTCTACCTCCTGTAGTTTTCTACCTAAACTTTTCCCTCTCTCTTTCCCACCCTTGACTTATCTGTAACGTCCCGTGAAGCTACAGAAGTGGGCGGGTCTGCAGCAGGCCGAATTCCGGAGCTGTGAAGGGGCTGAGGACTGGGCTGAGGGCTGGGCATGGAGATGAGGAAGGAGAGACTGGTGTGGCGGACACTCCAGAGGGAAATCAATCCACCAGACCTCTCGTCCATTTTCCCATCACAGAAACCCAATGTGGGTGTCATTGCCAGCGACCTCTCCCTTCCTCCCTGGCCACTCCTCCCCTGGGAAAAGGAAGGAAAAGGGACATTCTATTCCAGTGAGTCACCCTGACTGTCTGGCCAGTTCCCTCCCCCACTGAGCCTTGTCCTGATTCTCCCTTGTTCCCAGGCATAGCTGGGACAAGATTTCCTTTCCCCTTCGTGGATTAGACCATTTATGTGTGACGTACTTGGGACCTTGCATGCCTGTTGACTTTGGTAGAAGTCTCTACTATCCATGTCATTCTTAAGGAAGGGGAAACTGAGGTCCAGGCCAGGCAAGCATCTCTAACGGCCACTCAGCACTCCAAGCAATTTAAATGACTCTGTTCCCTCCCTCTAATTTAATCTGCCCCTACAGTGAATCTGCAAACAGGCTGGCTGAGACTCAAGGTCTGGATGAGTATCCCTACCCAGTCCCCAAAGAAACACTGAACCAGTACAGCCAGAGGGTGGAGCCTGCCCTGGCCCAGGTTCAGAGGCGCGCTGGAGGCAGAGTGCTCAGGAACCCAGTCTAGGTGATCTGGATGTCCAAAGCCCTGGATGTCCACACTGAACGTCTCCTTGTAGCTTAGGCAGGGACCACCTGCTTCTCCCCGTTCTACAGGGAGATCCCAGGCCCAGCTTCTCATCCCAGAAGAGTTCCCAGGGCTCTGTGACACAGCCCTGGTGGCGCCCTCCTCCCATTTCACACACACAAAAATACACACTTTCTGACGGCTTTTATTTCTTATAACCAAGCAACAATGAATGGTCCGGGCTGCCCCGAACACATTCTGCACCTGGCAGGGCATCACAGGGCCTCCCAGTCAGATGAGCACCTCATATCCACCCGGGCACTGGGTCCATGGGACGCTCTTGTAACTTCCGTGGTCGCGAGGAATTGCAGTCACTGGGTAGGGCAGCCAGGCAGCCCTGCTCCAAGCCCAAGCCCTGCGGTGGATGGGGCTACCCACGTGGTTCTCGGGTCTCGGTTGCACAGTGGGAGAAGGCCTCATAGACAAATGAAACCGAAGCAGGACTCAGACCCCAGAACCCCCATCCACCCCAGAGACAAGTCCTTTTCTGTGGGCACATCCGGCTCCACTCATACGGTGCTGGATGGCGGGCAGGGCCAGGTAGATACCATCCATTGGCCTCAGTGGCGGGCTCCATGAGCATGGTGGTGGTGGTGGTGGTGGTGGTGGTGGGGAGAACGGTGATGGTGCTGGTGGTGGTGATGAAAACCTGCACTGGTTACCCCAGTCATGTGGCCACGATGATGGTGGTGATGGTGAAAGCCTCCCAGGAAACCCCGGCGCCGGCGCCGGCGCTGGAAGAGTCGAGGCCTGATTTGCAGGACTCCGTTTCTCTCCACGTCATGCTCCTCTGATCTGTGGAAAAGACAGATGGCCAGCAGCAGCAGCAACAGCAAGATAGCTAGCGCGATGCCTGTGATCCAGCTCACGAGGGTTGTATTCCCCAGAAGGCTTAACATCTGGAAGCCAGAGGGTCCCCCTTCACTCGGTGGTGGCTCCATTGAGCAGCCTCTGCCCGGCCCTCACAGTCCCTGAAGTTAAGGTTGTCTCGGCTCCTGCAGGCTGGAGAGCAGCCAGGGAATGTGGGAGAGGCCTGTTTGGACTAGCTTCTGAACCAAGAGCAAGGCCAGAAGGCTGTGTGTGAGGAGGGCCACGCAGGAAGAATGGGTGGAGACAGCGGAGCAGCTGCGGGACTAACTCGCTTGAGGGGAGGGCCCTGAATATAGGGATAGAGGTCACCATCCCATCTCTTCCTGCTTCCTGGCAGAGGGAGGGCCCTCCTCTGGGCTTCAGTTTCCAAGAAACCACTGTACAGAGATGAAAGGTGTACGGTTTGGACCCACACAACTCCCAAGCTCTGTGACTGCAGCCTGCCATGTCCACAGCTAAGGGTAAGAGTCTGTCCAGTGAGTCAGCCCAAGTCCTGGGAACATCAGTGAGGAATGGTTGGAGCCTGATGAGGACCAGAAGCACATCCAAGAAGGCCTTTGCTTCTCCCACTGGGTCTAGGAAGCCAGAGGACTAGGTATCAGTCTCGGGTCAATGGACAGCAGAAGAAATCCACTTGAGGTCACGCAGGCCAGCCCCTGGATCCCAGATCAATGGTCTCAATGGCTGGCAGCCTCCTTGCTCTCTCATCCTCCCTGTCCCAAAGTTCAGGTCATTCCTGCCTACCTGAGGACTCGGACAGTGACCAGAATGTGCACAGTCTTCAAGTCTCTCGTTACTGGTTCTGAATCTGCTACTCCTGGTCATTACAGATGAGGCTCATGGTCTCCCAAAGCATCCCTGTTGTCTGCAAGCTGACTGGAATCTTATATGCAGGGAGGGGGGTTCTCCCCAAAGCCCCAGCTCTGTGTCCCGGACCCTCAGGGTTCCTTCAGCCCCTTCCTCCAAGCTCCTTCTGGTGAGTGCTCAGCTCCCTGCCGACAGGAGTGTTTACCTAAGCCCCAGACTGGCTCCCAAGCTCTTGGGTAATTGCACCCTGTAAAGTTGAGCAAGGCTCTTCCCATTGTTTCCTCTGGGTGTGACCTCTAGGGAAAGTTCTCTTACTCTAATCCAGTCGGGGCTGCTTTCTCTGATGTCTCAGGTGAAAACCTGCAGCAGCTCAAAGGGCTAGACTTCACTCTTGGCCAAGCTGGTCTCAGGAGTGGTAGATCTCATGACTCCAGAGGCTTCTCTGGCCCTCTGGAGAAGTCACTTGAACTTTTTTTTTTTTTTTTTTTTTTTTTTTTTTTTTTTTCGAGACAGGGTTTCTCTATGTAGCTTTGCGCCTTTCCTGGAGCTCACTTGGTAGCCCAGGCTGGCCTCGAACTCACAGAGATCCGCCTGCCTCTGCCTCCCGAGTGCTGGGATTAAAGGCGTGCGCCACCACCGCCCGGCTTCACTTGAACTTTTAATGAGGCTTGAGTAAAGAACTCCTCCTGCAGACTTCTGGGAGTCTGGAACCAGCTGCCTTCTCTAGAGCCACATTGAAGAGAAAGCCTGCTGGGAGCTGGGGAGGTGGGGAGGGGGGAGAGGAAGGAGGGATGAGGAAGAGAAGGTTAGACAGAGAACTTCTCCCCAGGACTTCTCCACGGAGTCGCGCGCTCCACACAAGCCAGGGACTGCTCTGCAGTGTGCAGACCTGATGATCCTCAGTCATTCCTAAGGGCTCCTGGGAATCATCCCACTCCAGTTCACCTTAGGGAAACTGAGGCCAGAGAAGGGAAGAAATTGTGGATTAGTGTCTACCACAAAGCTATTAATAGTGCTTTAGTAGTGGTGGGAAAAGCTGCCCAGGGTTGAGGACACTCCCTGAGCCTGGGACCTCCAGAAACAACGGAAAATGATGTGCAGTAATGGTAAGAGCCTGAGGGGCCAGGGATGGAGAGGCACCCAGGTACACACAATACATATCTATTTTATGAGGTGCACATTTTCTCTCCACTTAGATAAAAGCTAGGACCTTGAAGTGGCCATCTTATTAACTGCTTTGGGTATGTAGAGGTTGCAGGCTGCAGTCTCCAGGGCTTCAGAAGTAACTCCTCATGTCCACAGTGGGACAGTTTCCCACCTTTAATTCTGTGACTGCTTCACTGACAGTTTTGAACGGCCTGAACAGACCCAGGGTTTGCTAGATGGACGACCTTAGAGGAACTGGCTGAGATGATGCAGTCCCAGCCTGAGAAAAGCTGTCCTGTGCGCCTGTCATTACATTTCCCCCTGCTGCCGAGACTTTCTTCTGCACCTCTCCACAGGCCGCTCTCTCAGGCAGGGCTTTCAGAGGACCGGCCTACGCAGAAGCTTTTGGAAGTTCTTGTCATCTCACTTAATCCCGTGCTTTCCAGAGTGCCTCCTCTCAACAAATACACTTTAGAGCTAGGGTCAGCCTGTGGAGACTCACGAGCCTCTTCCGTGTGTGTGCACACGTTCTTGCATACATGCACTTCTTCATCCATGTTCTACAGAAGGCTGTGGGTGGGTCTTCCTTGGCCAGCAACACCAACCACATTGTTTTCACTAATTGGTGGCACCACCTAGTGGCGACAGTGAATATAAATCACTTTTGTTTTCTGACCCATCAAAAATGTCTATTATTCTGGGTTTTGTTTGTAGATCATAATTAACAGTGATGCATTGAACTAACTCACCATTCTGAATTATCAATAACATGGCTAAAGAATTAAACATGGGGAAATGCTATTCCACAGTAGAGGTCAGCCATCACATCCTTGGCCCTGGACCTTTATGGTAAATTTCTAGGACATTCCTGGGAAGGAGTTGAAGGTATGTCCAAAAGCTATGCAAGAGACAGCCAGGTCGGAGAACAGCCCAGAGGTGGGCTGCGGCATCAAACAGATGGTGATTTTGACAGTAGAGAGTGTCTGTCCCAGAGAATCCAGACAGGGCTCCACCCATCCTTTGGTTTGACAGAAATGCAGGCACAGAGGCCAGCAGGTTCCTAACCTGGGCACTCAGGTCAGTTCGAGAAGGGATACACACTGCCAGGGCACTTAGGGCTGCTGGGGCACACCTGGAAAACAAAACCACAGACGAGCAGAGGGGAGGGGTCTCCAATGCCCCAAAGCAACATGCTCGGAAATGTTCCTTTAAAATGTTTATAGATTCTAATCCCAAGCAAACCAAGACCAAAGTCCCTCCATTCAGTAAACAAATAAAGAAGAATCAATAGTTAAGCTATTGTATCCTTGCCACTAGACTCCAAGAGGAAAGACCGTAAAAACTCCCTCATCTACACTCTATGCAACAACTGGATTTTTAAAAAGTTTACATATTTGTTGTTGCTGGTGGTGGTGGTGGTGGTGGTGGTGGTG